CCTTCAGCTAGTCATCCAACCTGCGCACCCACCAGAGGATTCACATGGCGTCTCCCCCCAAGCTTGCCCCCAACAACCGGGCTCCGGTGCCCGGGAGGCCCTTCCCCTGCCCAGGGTGCGAGAAGCAGTTCACCAGCCACTTCCAGCTGAGGGCACACACTGGGGAGAGGCTCTATCGGTGCCCGGTGTGCGGCAAGGCCTTCCCCTGCTCCTCGCACCTCCTCCAGCAGCAGAGGGCCCACACGGGCGAGCGCCCCTTTGCCTGCTCCGAGTGCGGCAAGCGGTTTGGCTACCCCTCCCAGCTGGAGACCCACTGCTGGGTGCACACGCGGCGAGAGGCTGTTCCCCTGAGGGTGCACCAGTGGGTCCACACGGGAGAGCAGCCCTTTAAGTGCTCCCAGTGCAGCAAGGCGTTTACCTACTCCTCGTACCTCCTGAAACACTGGAGCATCCACTCCTCACTGGGCTGATGTGCGCTGATACCGCCGGCGTTTGTCGTGGAGGCTCTGTAGATGAAATCCTTTCATTCCGTTTCACAGCACGTGGCCCACATCCTTAGCATGGCAAGTGCACGTCAATATCCTCCTCCTCCAGTGTGACAAGGGGGTTTCTGCCTCTCCCACCCTTACAGGCAGCGAGTCCCAGATTCCCCACCACCCTCGGGGTGAACACATCTTCATCCCCTCCTCCCTCTAAACCTCCTGCCCTCACCTTCAATCTATGCCCCCTACCCTGGACATTGATCCCTCCGTCAAAGGGCAAAACTTCCTTCCTGTCTACCCTATCTACAACCCTCATCATGTTATACTTGTCAATCACGTCCCCTCTCAATCTCCTCTGCTCCCAGGAAAACAAACGAGGTGTCCAATCTCTCTTTGTCACTGAATCTCTCCAACCCCAAGGGTAACATCCTGGTAAATTTCTCCAGCACAAGGCAACATCCTGGTAAATCTCTCCAGCCCCAGAGGCAACATCTTGGTAAATTTCTCCAGCCCAAGAGGCGGCATCCTGGTAAATCTCTCCAGGACAAGGCTACATCCTGGTAAATCTCTCCAGCCCAAGGCAACATCCTGGTAAATCTCTCCAGCCCAAGGCAACATCCTGGTAAATCTCTCCAGCCCCAGAGGCAACATCCTGGTAAATCTCTCCAGCCCAAGACAACATCCTGGTAAATCTCTCCAGCCCCAAAGGCAACATCCTGGTAAATTTCTCCAGCCCCAGAGGCGGTATCCTGGTAAATCTCTCCAGCCCCAGAGGCAACATCCTGGTAAATCTCTCCAGCCCCAGAGGCAGCATCCTGGTAAATCTCTCCAGCCCCAGAGGCAACATCCTGGTAAATCTCTCCAGCCCCAGGGGCAACATCCTGGTAAATCTCTCCAGCCCCAGAGACAACATCCTGGTAAATCTCTCCAGGACAAGGCAACATCTTGGTAAATCTCTCCAACCGAAGACAACATTCCCAGTGCTGATGAAGGGTTTGGGCCTGAAATGTTGACTCTCCTGCTCCTCGGATGCTGTCTGACGGCTGTGCTTTTCCAGCTCCACATTTATTGACTCCAGCTTCCAGCATCTGCAGTCCTTACTATCTCCAAATCCTGGTAAATCTCTCCAGCCCATGGCAACATCCAAATAACATCCTGTGTCCTGACCCATCTCCCACCCTGTATCCAGACCCTGACTCACCCTGTAACCTGACCCCTTCCCCACCCTGACCCTGTCCTCACCTTGTATCCTATCCCTGACCCCCTCCCCTGTATCCTGATCCCTTTCCTATATTCTGACCCTCCCATGCCCTGTATCCTGACCCCTCCCCACCTTGGTAAATCTGTCCAGCCCAGGGCAACTTCTTGGTTAATCTCTCCAGCTCAAGGCAACGTCCTGGTAAATCTCTCCAGCCCAAGGCAACATCCTGGTAAATCTCTCCAGCTCAAGGCAACATCCTGGTAAATCTCTCCAGCACAAGGCAATGTCCCAGTAAATTTCTCCAGCCCAAGGCAATGTCCCGGTAAACTTCTCCAGCCCAAGGGCAACATCCTGGTAAATCTCTCCAGCACAAGGCAACATCCTGGTAAATCTCTCCAGCTCAAGGCAACATCCTGGTAAATCTCTCCAGCCCCAGAGGCAACATCCTGG